AAAAAAAAAAAAAAAAAGAAGGAATCAGTAACCAAATGTTTCTCTCGGCTCTCTTACAATCTACCAAGACAGATCTGCGCCAAACTATGACGTAATAAATGAAAAAACACATGCAGCGAATCGTCTCGCTGAATATCTTTTAAATTATTAATCTTATCCTCTTCGTCGCGAGACACGTAAAGGAGGAAAATATCAATAAAATGTAAAAAAAACGTCAAGTCACTTGGTATATATGTATGTATGAGAATTTTTATGCTCGTGTACATAAATTCTGTAATTCGGATCGATCTAGTGGCTGTCCTAATCATCTATATTAAACTAGAAACGAAAATGAAGAAAGAGAGAAAAAGTCACGACATTTTCCTCCTGTGATATTTGAATTGCGATTCATTTGTTTGTTTGTTTGTTTGTTTGTTTTTTTTTTTTCAAAATTTCTAGTCCCCACGACTTATTCGCCGAGTTAGCAACCGTGTAAAACGACATTCTCGTAAACGTTGTTGGAACACGTTAATTGAAACGGCCAAATACTTAAATAACGATATTAATGTAATATAACACTTACACGATCACGCTGGTCAATCATCTTCGTTACTTTTCTCCTATTTAAAACTATATAATAATGCAACATCGATCATATGAATTCCATGAACATTTAAAGCTATTTTATATTGTATAATTTCAATTTGTTTCATAAATTATGAAGAATATATTTATAGGATCATGTAACACTTTTCCTCGTTAACTTATTTATTATTTTATCAAAGTTGCATAGAAGAAACAGTGATTGACCGGCATAATCAAAAAGCAAATAAGAACAGTAATTACAGTTTTATTGTTTAAACTGACGCGTAACATCTCCCCATCCTTCCCTTCTTCTTTCCCTCATCTCGTGTTCCGACCGAAGCGCAAGATCACCTTTTTCCCCTCTACACTTTCCCTTTCATGCCCAGTTCCATTTCCAATCCTTCGTTCCATCCACTTTAGTCTGGTATAGTACTACTTTTTAACCTTGAGATTTCGGTCATGGTGCTATAATATCTGTACATATACTGTGGGAATCGTTGCGTAATCAATGTACCATTATTATTAATATTATTCGAACTAATCGTATTCTATATGATTATTATTAATGTTATTATTATATTATTTTATTATTTTATTATTTTGATATCATTGATACTCATATTTACGTGAGCATTACGTTTAACTATACGTAAACTTATAAATTTGTCTTGCAATTTGCGCATGAATATTAGGAAACGCTAACAAAGAAGAAAAGATGGCGATTCTTTACATTTCAGAGATAAATATATAGTAAATATATATATATATATAAATCCATACATATATTCCGCCCGTAAAACAGGACTCTGCAATAATCATGATTTTGTTTGATATTGATTCTATGATTGTATATTTATAGATAAGTTGAGCTCAAGCGTGCATCTCGTTGCGTACGCTGTATCACATATATTATACATAATCTTCTTTTTTATATAGGCGAGATATCGACTGCATACTATACCTACATCGGATGTTTTATAAATTGCCAAACAGCCAAGAATTGAAGACTTCCCGACCAGATATAGAACAATCCGTAAATGAAAATATGCCTGAAAGTGAAATTTTAACATCCCCGATAAAACTTACGCTAACCTAAAAGCAAATTGTCTAAATTGTGTTTTGCATAGATCGTTTGTGGTCATCCTATTATATCCAGTACGAATCCTTGATTCTTTTTTGATTCGTGATTTATAAAACAGCCTGTGTATAACACGATATATCGAAGTGATTAAAATGACGATGACGATGGATGACGGCGTGCCAAGCGAGGCGGGAATTGTTCTTTAAAAGCAAAAAAAAATATATTACATATATATGTATAAAATAATATAAACGACGATAATGATATTAAGGTAAATAAGTACGACAAAACGACTGCTCTATACTGCTAAAGTACAAATGTTTCATTTTAATTGTTTTATAAAAACGATATCGATTTGTTAGAGATTAGGTTTAATGCGTGCACGCTCAGGCGCGCGATGTACGTGTAATTATATTTATTTGTTAATCTCTCTCTCACTAACCTCTTTCTCTTTGTCTTTTCTCTCTGGCTTCTCTTTATCTGCCTATCTATCTATCTATCTATCTATCTATCTATCTATCTATCTATCTATCTATCTATCTATCTGCCTACTTACCTCTTTTTACTATTCGTTTCTCTCACTCTTTTCTACCCATTTCTTTCTCTCTCTTTTCTATGCGTTTCTTACTCTTTTCTATTTGTTTCTCTCTCACACTTTTCTGTTTGTTTCTCTCTCTCTTTCTTTCTCTCTCAGCATAATAATGTGGCCCCTCAAACTCGCGTCTTACCGGCGCATACGCAATAAGTGATATGCTCATGTTCGCTCATTT